GGCTCCCTTTATCAGGGAACAAGGAAAAGAGGTTTCTTGTTCTCCTTCTCTGTCCTTCCCCCAACTTGACCATTCCGATCTTGCATGTTCTTATTTATTTATTTTTACTTTGATTAATACTTTGTGGGTTTCACTGCATTCCAATCCCACCTACCTCCCCGTCTGCTTGCATTCACCCTTTGCCCTTGCAACCTCCCCCAACAAAACAAAACCAAATTTAAAAGAAAAAAAAAACCGAGACAAAAGCAAACCAAAACCAAGAAAAAGACGGAGAAAAAAAAAAAAGGAGAAGAAGAAGAATCTTGTCAAGGAAGCTGTAGTGCGACCCATTGGGACAGTTTACCCTTTAGTCTGTTCATCTTTACTTGCAAATGTCCATTGTCACAAGTCATTGCTCTGGCTTAAGGCCTCTCTGGTTTCTGTTACATCATTGGTAATGGGCTCTCACTGTGGTTCCTCTTGGATATATTGTTGTTGTCCTGTGTTTTAGAGATCCTGTAGTTTTGGGTTTATTTATTTATTTATTTTGAAACAGGGTTTCTCTTAGCTTTGAAGCCTGTCCTGGAGCTAGTTTTTGTTGACCAGGCTGGCCATGAACTCACAGAGATTCCCCTGTCTCTGCCTCTTAAGTGCTGAGATTAAAGGTATGTGCCACCATAGCTCTGCTGAGATCCTACAGTTTTGGCTCTGTAGATTTGTCCCAGTTCACATGTTCCAACAAGTTGGATGTTGGGGTGGGCCTGGACGGCTGATGGAGGAAGGTCATTGGTTAAATAAACTGCCTTGGCCCTGATAGGTAAGAACATAGGTGGGTGGAGTAAACAGAACAAAATGCTGGGAGAAAGAGGAAGTGAGGTCAGAAATCATGCAGCTCCTCTCAGAGCCAGATGCACGCGATGAAGCAAGCCGCAGGTCAGACATGCTGAATCTTTCCCGGTAAGACCGGTGCTACACAGTTTATTAGAGATGGGTTGATCAGGATATCAGAATTAGCCAGTAAGGGCTAGAGCTAATGGGCCAAGCAGTGTTTAAAAGAATACAATTTGTGTGTTGTTATTTCTGGTGTAAAGCTGTGTGGGAGCTGGGCGGGACGAAAAGAGGCCCACAGCTCCCACAACACTTGAGGCTACCCTGGTCTACCATAGCAACTTTTAAGCCAGCCAGTGCTTACATATCAAGACTCTGTCTCAAAAACCAAAAAAGAGCTGGTGAGATGGCTCCGCAGATTAAGGGGCTTGCCACTAAACCCAAGGACCTGAGTCTAATCCCTGGGAGTCACGTGATGGAAAGAGAGCATTGATTCCCACAAAATTTTCCTCTGACCTCACACTCATGCAGCAGCACACGCATCTCCCCCACATCATACACATACATGTGCGCGCACACACAAATCAACAAATGTAATAAATATTAAAAAGGAATAGTAGGCACTCAGGAAGCAGAGGCGGGTGGATCTCTGTGAGTTTGAAGCCAGCCTGGTCTACAAAGTGAGTTCCAGGACAGCCAGGGCTGCTACTCAGAGAAATCCTGTCTTGAAAAAAATGGATAGATAGATAGATAGATAGATAGATAGATAGATAGACAGATAGATAGATATAGCAGCAACAGTGCCATATGAAGACCTTCTAGCACTCACATTAGAGCCTGCCAGGCCATGGGGCACCTGATAACTACTTGGACTTTGACCCAGGGGAACTTTAAGAGCAGGGAGCTCAGCCCTCTACCTGACTGTGTAGGCAGCTGATGTCCATCCTTCTGCCATCGATTTTTCCTGAAAGCAATTTCTCATAACCCAAAGGTCATAAATCATATCCACAAGGCTGGAGAGATGGCTCCGGCATTAAGAGCACTGGCTGTTCTTCCAGAGGTCATGAATTCAATTCCCAGCAACCACATGGTGGCTCACAACCATCTATAATGAGATCTGGGGCCCTCTTCTGGTGTGCAGGCACAACACTGTATACATATAAGTAAATCCTTAAAAAAATAAAAATAAATCATACCTATAATCCTGAGCTCCAACCCATCCCTATGTTCAAACAGTGGAGCTACTATCAGGGTCTAGGATACTGAAATCTGAAAATTTTTTTTCTTAGCGTTTAAAAATGCATTTTTATTTTGTGTGTATATGTGTCTGCCTACACGGTCTTTGCACTAGTGCAGAGCACTTAGCAGTCAGAGATGCTGATGCCCTGGATCTGAAGTTAAAGGTGGATGTGAGCTGCCTGATGTGAGTGCTGGGTACCAAACCCAGGTCCTCTGCAAGAGCAACACATGCTCTTAACCACTGAGCATCTCTCCGGCCCCAAATCTGTATAAACCACAATAACTACTGCCATGAAAAGGATGGAACAGGGAAATAGCAACATCTTTTCACAGTAAAGGGAGGCTCCTCTCCTGAGCTGAGCCGGGTCTAAGGTAAGCCTAGGAGAGGCTCCAGCAGGAGCCTGGAGCCCCACTGGCCTGTGCAGAATTCCCGTCCACTCCATCTTCCTCCAGGAAGGTCACTGAAGTTATCACTGCTCCTGGGCTGGGGTCTGCCCTAGGGCAGCAGGGTGGGCTGTGCAGCAGCAAAGGGAGATGTCAAGAAAGGGTGATGTAGAAAAGGAGAGAGAGGCAATGAGTTGGAACCAGGGATGCA